GTCACTGCAGAACTGATTAAGGAAACTAAGAAGAAACTAAATCGAAAACTCACCAGTGAAGTTTCTTTTAACTGTTTGGCATCATGACCAGTTAACTATGCGTTAAAATCACCACTGAGTCCTGCGGATGTACATAATGGTTAATTTGTGCTGTTTACACTAAACACCTTAATATGTGGTTATTTTTGCCAGAGAATTCAACATGTTGTTTTGTCTGCTGCAAGTCTGGTTTTATGCTGTAATGACAGTTGATGGACAGAATTGCTGCTTTCTTTTAGTGTGTTGGGTAAATCGTGCCTTGAATATGTTTGTGTATTATCTTATCAAATGCAGGTTATTAGCCATTTTTAAAATAATCTTAAAACAATTTCTATTTTTTGCACTCATACAATAACAGTTTTGTTTTTTGTGTATTTAAATAAACAGTATTTTTGTATTTTGAGATTTGTTTACTTTTTATTTTGTGCCTGTCTGTGAGTTTTTTTCTTTGGGAATGAGGGGGTTGTGTTGTCCTTCTGAATGAACACATGTGTATTTACGCCTGTAACTTTACTTTCTATATAAAAGTGTTAACACTCAGTGTTGTACTGTATCCACCCTGCCAGGAGGAGAACTGTCAGGACTTTTCTTTGTCCTGCACAGCCTGAAGGTCACTGCTGCATATAGATGGTCGATGGTAAGACTAGGGTTGAACCTTAAACCACTCCCATCATCTCTTCACTTGCCTCCGCTGTGTGCCTCCGTCCTTCACGTTACAGTTGCAGTTCTGTTTGCTGTAGCTGCCATCTCTGTGGTTTTGAATATAAAGCTAAACAGGAGCAGATATTGTTACTGGTTTGTGGTGATGGTGTGAATAATATTTGTGAATATGCATGCTTCACTACCATTCATTAACATTTGCTTGACTCACCCACCTCTTAACAGTTGATTTTCTTTCCTCTTTGCCACGAGATGCACGGAGACGCAGTCGAATACAAGTCTGCATAATCTTTACCCGCCACCTTTTTGCTCCCAATTCAAGCCAGAAGAAAAGACAGGAAGCAGCTTCTCCGTGCACATCTGTAAACCTTTTGCCATATTTGGCTGCCTTCTAATTGCATTTTCTGCATCGAACTCACGTCCTCCAAGCTTCTCCATCTTATCACAGCGCTGCCATCAGAGCTCCCATTGCTTTCACTTTTCTTATGACTTCCAAACTAATTCCTTAAATCAGATTGCAGAATTTTGTGTACACGCCTGTCCTGTTTTTACTCTCATGCCATTCGCAGCTTGGCTTCTATTAACACATTTTGCTCCTGCCTTTTCCTGATTTTGCTCTCTTTTTTTCTTCTTCTTCACACAGTGCACTCAGAGCACAAAGGATGTGCTGGAGAGGGTGGTCCACTCCTCAGACTTTCCTGTCCTTTGCTCCCCCGGGACCCCAAAGACTACCCCTCAGGTCCTGAATGTTTCAAGCCGCGCAGCCCCAACCTCAGAGCCTTCGCCGTCTGTTGGCTGCACACAGCAGCAAGCTCGCCAGCCAGCGGCCACTGCATGCCCCCCGTTCAGCCGAAGCAACAAGAGGGACTCGCTGCACTC